TTCAGACGTGACAATAGAGAGTAAATACATTTAAGGCAAATCAATAATCAATCAGTGATCTGTTTGGTGGAAATGCTGGACTTGTGTGCTCTGATTGGCTGGGTATCAATTGTATCGGATTACCTAAAATCACTGCATATATCTCCAGACCCTTATCAGTACTGCGGGAATGTTTTCCACATTATTGATTACCCAGCTGTACCTCCCTCTAATGAAACACCCGGCACATCATTTTTTACAGTGTGCTTCCTCAGAGTCTGGACATTACCCAGAATGCAACGCTTCTTAATCAGTATAAAAACATTCTTGGTGTTCTGCTGGTGAGAGAAACTCAAACCTTTTCCCTATAAATGGCTTTTTGTTCATCAGCATGCTTTTTTAAAATCCTTTAAGGCTTTGTCGCTCGTTAAACTTTTGCCCGCAATAATAAAAAAATGCGGCGGCGTTTGATAGAAAAATAGAGTCATGCCGTGAAGCAGAGAACAGTCGGACACGATGGCTCGGTGCTGCGTTCACGTCGCCCGCCGAGGCTGAGAAATCCTACCGCCAGGAACTGATCAGAGGCTGAACTCACGGAAACGACTGAGCACGTCTGCAGGTTTTTCTATAAATCACAGGCTGGTTCTGAAGACCTGGATCCTCAGACGCCAACGCCCCGTCGCTCGGGTTATATCAGAGACAGTAACACAGAGCTGGGGCTGCGCGATACGGTAAAATATAAAAATAAATAAACTCGTGATTATTTTGACAGATATAATTTGCGATCTGATATAGATAATTTTGTGTCACAGTTTTACCTGAAAAACTTTTACAATCATGATGATGTGACGAGAATCCATATTTCAGTACAAAGTCTAAATCAATGATTATATAAATACTAAAAATGTGTCTACTCGTTTTTTAAAGGACTTTAACGTATATCGTGTATTGCAATACTTTGCGTTAACCATTACTTTTGTCTGAGTGCTGCTAAATCCATTACATTTAAATATTAAGAAAAACAAACACGTGTGCCAGAATAATCCGTGTACGGTTCGTTCTTTCATTTTTCCTTTCAAAACCAAATCAGAAAAACAAAAAAACAAAGTCGTTTTTTGATAACAGAAAAATCTTGATTTTGATATTTAATGATTCTGATCTGCAGCTTTGTGCGTCACACTTGATAACCCTGCAGCAGGCGCACCTGGCGACGGCGGTGCCTGATTACATTTAATGAAGACGAGCTTGAACATCAACATAAGTGGGTTTTTAGTTAGTTTAGTTCTACAGTTTAAAATTAATTCAGTGATAGTTGTCAGTCCATCCAACGGTACACCGCAAATATGAACTGTTATTAGTTAATTTGGCGAGCTGTATGTTAACGAACCATACACGGATTAAAATGTTCGGTAATTTTAGTTCAGCCTCTCCACACTGTTTCGACCCAACCTTTATTTTCTGAGATGGAAGAACTCAAAGTTTCGCGGTGCTGGAGAGGAACACACGGATTAGGCGTGTCGGACTTCATCCAGCCAGGGGGAACGACCAGTGACCGTCCAGTGCGGCGGTTCATCTGGCAACACATCCCAGCGCGCTGCGGACGGTCGGTGAGCCCTCTGGCTGGATGAAGCCCGACGCTACCGATTACGCATGATCCAAAAAATAGAAATGAAAGGCAAAAATAGTGCACAGTTTATATTTTAGAGACCCCCAAAATATTACAAATCATGTTTTCAGGGGGGCTCATGTCTTTCTAAGAGGAGTAAAGCTCCCCCGTAGTTCGGGTAACCAGCTGCTTCAGATCAGCCTCGAACACGCCACATGTGAGGAGTCGGCGAGTGAGAACTAAACACAAAACAGATTTTTTTTTGTTTTTCCGATTTGGTTTTGAAACGAAATAATGAAAGAACGAACTACAGTTTGTGTACATGTACATATAAACACTAGGGCTGCAGCTGATGATGATTTTAGTACTCAAATCAAATTTATCCATCAATCGTTTCAGCCCTAAAACACACATCTGTGTATTCAAGTTGACAATCATAAGATCTATGTACAGCATATTTTAGGGATGTCATGAGAACAGATACTTTTCGTTTTTCTTCAGAACCGAAGGTACCGCAGATCCAACGTGTTAAAGACGGCGACAAGCTGCAGACAAACTCCGCCTCCGCTCGACGAACAGAAACTGCGGGGGAGTCTGGTATGAAAAGAAAGGCGGTCAGATTTGATCCGCCTCTGAGCCGGAGCGACGTCTGTGCGAGAAGCCACAGCCGGCATGCTGGACCGGGTGTGGTCTGACAAGCCACGTGTCACACGGCCGCCGGATTAATAATGGCGGATCTATTTCAGGACCTCTGTGTGACATTACGACCTGCAGGCCAGTAAAGGGCGTCTGAAGTTCACGGTATTTAGATTATTCGTGCAGCCCTACTGTGACACCGTGAGCAACAAACGCTACAGAAGCTGAACTCCTCTGAACATCTGTCAATAATCTGACGTCTGCGTCTCGGGAAAATCAGCATTTTTAAACGACGAGAAAAGAAGGAGCCGCCGTTGGTGATTAACTGCGCAGCATTAAAAACATCAGCTGACGCGAAAACAGAGTTTCAGCTTCACTCAGTTCCTGGAGTGTTACAGCGTGTGTGTGTGTGTGTTACAGCGTGTGTGTGTGTGTTACAGCGTGTGTGTGTGTGTTACAGCGTGTGTGTGTGTGTGTTACAGCGTGTGTGTGTGTGTGTTACAGCGTGTGTGTTACAGCGTGTGTGTTACAGCGTGTGTGTGTGTGTGTTACAGCGTGTGTTACAGCGTGTGTGTTACAGCGTGCGTGTGTGTGTGTTACAGCGTGTGTGTTACAGCGTGTGTGTTACAGCGTGTGTGTGTTACAGCATGTGTGTGTGTGTTACAGCGTGTGTGTTACAGCGTGTGTGTTACAGCGTGTGTGTTACAGCGTGTGTGTTACAGCGTGTGTGTGTTACAGCATGTGTGTGTGTGTTACAGCGTGTGTGTTACAGCGTGTGTGTTACAGCGTGTGTGTGTTACAGCGTGTGTGTGTTACAGCGTGTGTGTGTTACAGCGTGTGTGTGTTACAGCGTGTGTGTTACAGCGTGTGTGTTACAGCGTGTGTGTGTTACAGCGTGTGTGTGTTACAGCGTGTGTGTTACAGCGTGTGTGTTACAGCGTGTGTGTGTTACAGCGTGTGTGTTACAGCGTGTGTGTGTTACAGCGTGTGTGTGTTACAGCGTGTGTGTGTTACAGCGTGTGTGTGTTACAGCGTGCGTGTGTGTTACAGCGTGCGTTTGTGTTACAGCGTGCGTGTTACAGCGTGCGTGTTACAGCGTGCGTGTTACAGCGTGCGTGTTACAGCGTGTGTGTTACAGCGTGTGTGTGTGTGCGTGTTACAGCGTGTGTGTTACAGCGTGTGTGTTACAGCGTGTGTGTGCGTGTTACAGCGTGTGTGCGTGTTACAGCGTGTGTGTGTGCTTGTTACAGCGTGTGTGTGTGCTTGTTACAGCGTGTATGTGTTACTGTTTGTGTGTGTGCGTGTTACAGCGTGTGTGTGTTACTGTTTGTGTGTGTGTGTGTTACAGCGTGTGTGTGTTACTGTTTGTGTGTGTGTGTGTTACTGTTTGTGTGTGTGTGTTACAGCGTGTGTGTTACAGCGTGTGTGTGTGTGTTACAGCGTGTGTGTTACTGTTTGTGTGTGTGCGTGTTACAGCGTGTGTGTGTTACTGTTTGTGTGTGTGCGTGTTACAGCGTGTGTGTGTGTGTGTTACAGCGTGTGTGTTACAGCGTGTGTGTTACTGTTTGTGTGTGTGTGTGTTACAGCGTGTGTGTGTGTGTGTTACAGCGTGTGTGTTACAGCGTGTGTGTGTTACTGTTTGTGTGTGTGCGTGTTACAGCGTGTGTGTGTGTGTTACAGCGTGTGTGTTACTGTTTGTGTGTGTGTGTGTTACAGCGTGTGTGTGTTACTGTTTGTGTGTGTGCGTGTTACAGCGTGTGTGTGTTACTGTTTGTGTGTGTGCGTGTTACAGCGTGTGTGTTACAGCGTGTGTGTTACAGCGTGTGTGTGTGTGTTACAGCGTGTGTGTGTGTGTGTTACAGCGTGTGTGTTACTGTTTGTGTGTGTGCGTGTTACAGCGTGTGTGTTACAGCGTGTGTGTGCGTGTTACAGCGTGTGTGTTACAGCGTGTGTGTTACAGCGTGTGTGTGCGTGTTACAGCGTGCGTGCGTGTTACAGCGTGTGTGTGTGTTACAGCGTGTGTGTGTGTTACAGTGTTTGTGCGTGCGTGTTACAGCGCGTGTGTGTTACGGTTTGTGTGTGTGCGTGTTACAGCGTGTGTGTTACAGCGTGTGTGTGCGTGTTACAGCGTGCGTGCGTGTTACAGCGTGTGTGTGTGTTACAGCGTGTGTGTGTGTTACAGTGTTTGTGCGTGCGTGTTACAGCGCGTGTGTGTTACGGTTTGTGTGTGTGCGTGTGTGTGCGTGTGTTACGGTTTGTGTGTGTGCGTGTGTTACGGTTTGTGTGTGTGCGTGTGTTACGGTTTGTGTGTGTGCTTGTGTTACGGTTTGTGTGTGTGCGTGTGTTACGGTTTGTGTGTGTGCGTGTGTTACGGTTTGTGTGTGTGCGTGTGTTACGGTTTGTGTGTGTGCGTGTGTTACGGTTTGTGTGTGTGCGTGTGTTACGGTTTGTGTGTGTGCGTGTGTTACGGTTTGTGTGTGTGCGTGTGTGTGCGTGTGTTACGGTTTGTGTGTGTGCGTGTGTTACGGTTTGTGTGTGTGCGTGTGTTACGGTTTGTGTGTGTGCTTGTGTTACGGTTTGTGTGTGTGCGTGTGTTACGGTTTGTGTGTGTGCGTGTGTTACGGTTTGTGTGTGTGCGTGTGTGTGCGTGTGTTACGGTTTGTGTGTGTGCGTGTGTTACGGTTTGTGTGTGTGCGTGTGTTACGGTTTGTGTGTGTGCGTGTGTGTGCGTGTGTTACGGTTTGTGTGTGTGCGTGTGTTACGGTTTGTGTGTGTGCGTGTGTTACGGTTTGTGTGTGTGCGTGTGTTACGGTTTGTGTGTGTGCGTGTGTTACGGTTTGTGTGTGTGCGTGTGTTACGGTTTGTGTGTGTGCGTGTGTTACGGTTTGTGTGTGTGCGTGTCAGCAGCCTCGGCGTCTCACACAGAAGCGTAGAAACACGTTAACAGCATCACCACGAGGAGCTTCAGCTCCGCAGCAACAATAACAGCAAACAGTCGGGTCAGGTTACCGTGGCAACCACAGCGCTCAGCTAGCATCAGAAGAAGAAGAAGAACAACAACAACAGCAGCAGCAGCAACAGTCTCAGAAGAAGCGTAATATGCGTCAGCGTCCACAGACGGTTCAGCCTCACTCTGTGCAGATCCTGATGTTGCCACAAGCTTGTTGCCAAACTTTGGAGCGTTTGCTGCGGGCCGCCACGGTCCAGAACCGGAACCAGAAGGACTCTCTTCTTCACGCTTTGTTGACGTTGGGTCGGCGTAGCAGCTGCTGGCAGATCAGAGACACTTTGATGGGCTGTAAACATGAGACATGCAGGAAGTCAGGAACCGAGGAGCAGGATCCAAACGCACGGGTCTTAACGAGTCCACGGTTCTTGAAAACTTGGTACAGATTCAAACTAGTGTTCTGATGATTTATGCTACCTATCGAGATGCGGTTACGATTATGATTTGGTAGCATTTTTCAACAAGGGAGCGTAGATACAGGCAGAACACCGGTTCTCGATGCCCGACCCGACTCCGCTTGTTAGGTTGTCAGTTAAAAAAAACGCCTGAGCACGAGTCCCAGAACGACGAGAGCGGAAACCAGCGTTCGCACGAAAACTTGTGGCAACATCTCTGCAGATGAACAACACCAGGAATCCGAGGCTTTCAGGAACTAAACGCAGGAAAAACATTCACTGATCGAAGCTGCTGAACAACAATCTGCTGTACGTCTGGAATGAAGGCTGACATTAAAGTGACGCCCAGCTGTTATCAAGAAAACAAACGGCTGCATCAGCCTGCAAAGCTGAAGGAATGTGTCCACACAGGAAATACACACCGCCACATTAAGAGAAAAAACTTGGCTGCCGACGAAGGCGGAAAGGTCCATCATCATCAACATCTCTCCTCTGTGATTGGTCAGTTCAAAATGATGCGGAGGAGGTCAGTCCAATAACAGGCCAGGCATAACTGGAGAAAGGCGTGGCCAATAAGAGCGAAGCAAAACCCCTTAAATGGCCCTAAAAGTCGTTTCTGGATGAATCCAGCAAAGCGAGTTTATAAAATGTTCATCTGGGAGCGAGAGAGTCTGCCTCGCCCCGTACAGTCAGGAGCCGCAAAACGCCATCAGGTTAAAGAATCTGCAGAGAACGCTGAAAACAGGAAACAGAAATAAATAGACACTTTTTAAAAAACAGACGACGAGCGAAGAGCAAAAAGGCCCGAAAAAGATCCCACGAGAAAGAACTTGAGATAAATCTGGAATCCGCAGGTTTCCTCAGACGACCTCATGAATATTAATGAGGCTCAGGTCAAACCTTCACATCAAAACCTCTTCAGTTCCTTTCAAAATGTCCGAGCCGTGGATCAGAGAAAACAAACGGTTCTGAATTTAAAATGATTTCATTTCTCCAGTAAAAACTCAACAACACGATCTGGTTCCAGTTATAAACTTTTTCTTTTTTTCACAGTTTACAGACCGCCAGCTGAACGGCGTCCGTAGAGGAAGAGAAACACTCTTTAGATCAGATTTCTGTTTCTTTCCCCTCGTCCAAGTGTTCGAGTGCCGATACAGAAACGAAGGAGGCTGAAGGCCCGACACCCAGCTGCTCTCTGCACCGGCTAAATGTTCAGCAGAGGCGTTCGGAGGCTCCGGCCTCGCAGACGTTCACAAACCGGGTCTTTTGTCTGGTCTGGGCGACGACTCCCCAGCAGCAAAAGGTTCCCATAAACCACCAACTCTCCCAGTCTTACCGGTCGGGCGACAGCGCCCCAAAAAACTATGTGGAAGTTTCAGAATCAGTCCAGGCGGCCTCCTCCGACCCTCCCGGAGGCGAAGGCGAGCTCTGTGCCCAGCGAGGAGCTGTGCGAGGCGGGCGGGGCGCTCAGGGTTTCTGGGGGCCGGGGGACAGGACCACGGGGGTGGAGAGGCCGTCGACGCTCAGAGCCGGGATGTGGATCTGGTTACTGCCGTTGGTGGGAAACTGAAGGGGGAGAGAGAGAGAAGACGTCAGCATTGTCATCTCCTTCAGGTAGTTTCTATGAAAACCACGGCCGCGCTTTGTTGAGTCACCTCCTCTGAGCAAAACAAACTCCTCTGGCTGCTCCTGGACGTTCGTCTTGTTTTGAGTCTATTTTTTACATATGATTTCAGAAAGTTGAGGAACTTGTGACCTGGTAGCAGTTGATAACACGGGGAGGTGAACTCTTGATCCGGATGAATGCTCCAGTAGGAGGAGGTGACTTACACTAACTGACTACCAGCTGAACTCCGTCTCCTCTATTTCCCATAATTACTACCAAATGACTGTAGAAATGATCAATTAAACCAAAATCCACTTTAAACGTTTCATGTTTCTGTGGACGGTTTAGTTTCAGGAGCGCATTTGAAGCGTCGCATCAGAAAAGGTCGATGGAAACAGAAAAATTCGAAGAAAAATCCTTCATTTTGTTTTTTGCTCGCTTGAGGTGTTTTCTTGTAGAAAAAGAGTAAATAATAAGTTCTGACGTAGCGAACTCGTAGCTCACGTCTGATCAGCTGTTTCTGCTGTCGGCGTCTCGCCCGGTCGTGCAGAGTTCTGCGGAGGAGGATGCAGATCTGGGCAGGAAGCCTTCATCAGCTGTTCTGCTGAATGATGCGTTCACGTCTTAAAGGTTTGTTTCAGATGCTAAATATTAACGACTAAACGTCCATAAAATACTTTGAATCATTCATCTCCACTGATGAACCCCACAAAGGACATTACAGCGTTTAAAAGCATTATCTGGAGGTGCGTGCAGAGCTCTGCATAACACCGGATATTCCCATAATGCTCGGAGACGCGGCTGGTAGCAACTTGCTGCTTGAAACACATTGCTGATGACCTCTCTGTTTCTCTCAGATCAGTGGCCCTCAGGTTCGTGCGCCTGGTTTAGTTTCTGGTTTGAACCCAGACGTCTTGTTTATCACAGCCATGTGTAACGTCAACTACTGACGTAACGACGCTCGCCGCAGCCCGGTTTATTCGCTCCAAACCACCTGATGGAAACGCACAGATTTCAAAGTTTCTTTTTGTTCTTTTTTTTGCGACATTTCAAAAGTACGCTTAAAAACTTTGCTTGACAATTAGTTGGAAACATGGCCTGTGATCCGTTTGTGCTTCTGTTGCAACGGTCATCGAGCTGACTCATATGTTCTCTGCTAAATGGAAACAAACATCAGCAGCGTTAAAGCAGCTCTAATCCTGTTTGTCTACATGACACGCAGAGATAAAGGGTTAAGTGAAGCCGTTTATCAGATCTCCGTTTAAGCTGCACTTCATCTGCTCATGAAGCTGCTGTTTGTTTCTACTCAGACGCTTTTATTCAAAGCGACTTAGATTTGAGGGACGACATGGAAGCACCAGTGAAGCGATAATCTGAGATTCAAGTCAACTACAAACTACGAGAACGTCACAGTGACACGGTTCAGGTTCACACGCCTTCTTTTTAAACAAATACTTTAATCTGTTGTTATTATCATCATCATCCAGATAATACAGCTGTGTGGAGTTCAATTAGTGAGCTCGTTTATTCTGTGAAAACTCAGGTGTCCTTCTTTAAGGACATGCTGGGCGTAGTGCATTTCTCTCCGACACTGTAAAACCAAGACATGCAGAGGAAATGTCCAGTCGTCCCGGGCTGGAATAACAGATGTGAAGCTGTTCTCAGAAACTAAATATCAGTTCAGGGATTCACAGAAACATTTTTCAGTTTACAGCAGATGTTTGAGTTTGTAAAGAAAAATGCAGACACTGCCTCATATTTCCTTTCCAACACACTGCTACTGTTCTGAACCCAGCTGTACTGCTGGAGCCCTTCTGTGTACTGCCACTAGGTGGCGCTGCGTTCTTCCACCAGGCTACTTAAGACAGACGATGATTAATTCAGGGGTGGTGGGTTTTGACCATTGAAGCATGGCGTGTAATCATGGTTTGGATTACTATTTTTTTAATTTGTTCTGAGAATAAATGGATTTCAAACTTTTGAAAGTTTATTACCTTATTTTATTATTTCTACGTGGAGGAAACAGCACGCAGCAACACGTCGCACCAACAACTTCTACAGAAATTACAAAGCCTCTGATTTTTGTTGTAGATTGTATTCTTAGAATTTTCTTTTCTCTACTTGTCTAAATTTTTATTCCTATAAAGCCTTGTTCAGCAACGTTAGCAACTCAGGGATCAATAAAGTACTTCTGATTTCTGATGCCGGTTATTATAAAAAAACCTGCACCTGCTGAGTTTTGCTGCGTTTGCTGATCTGTAAATATCTTTATAACTTTTCACCCAAACATGTCCTGTAACACATTATTGATGATGTGATGTGGAATAATCTGAGCGCAGCGTCTCGTCCTGAGTTTTCTGGCTGCACCAGAAGGAGGCGACAAACCGTCACAACAACCAACACCACGCAGCTCCACACGGGAGCAGAGGAAGCCTCGTTTTCCCCTCACCAGAGAAAGAAAGTGATTCAGTCACTCTGCTGATGTAAAATGTCTCAGTCCCAAATGGGATTCGGCTCTGACGGATATCTCCTGAACGCAGAAACCCAAACCTGCCTGACGGGACAGAGAGGGGCGAGGGAGGATAAGCGGTTTGGGATGGTGAACCTTTAATGATCGTCTAACAGATGGAACAAAAGCTGAGCCAGGAACCTGCAGAGCGACCGGCTCCGAGTGTCGGTGTGACCTGGATCAGGTACAGGTGCACGCAGCGCACAGTCTGTGTGAGAGCAGATCTGACCAGTTTAATAAGAAGAAAATGTTCTTTAGAGAAACACTGAGACCAAAAGTCTACTTTATTTTCTACTAAACACTGAGCTTTAAGGAATAAAGCTCCACCTGGTGAGCTGGCAGCTGATCACTAAACCCTCAGGCACAACTCTTGGGCGAGGACTTTATGAGCAGGACTTGTGTTTTGATGTAAAGAAAGTTGTTTCGTTATGTTTTTATTATTTGAGAAATGCGGCCGAGGTCAAGTCTTTTATTTCAGCCACGCTTTTATAACGAAACGCTTTGACCACATGGCCACAGTGTTAACATCTCGCCTGTTTCTTTTAGGAATTTATTTTCATTGCTGTAAAGGTATGAGCTGCCACCTCCGTATACCTCTGAGCTTTGATCCCCCTATGATCCGGGTCGCGGACTGAGATCCTCTGGTAGGGCGCTGCTAGCTATTCCAAAGGGGACAGGGCCTTTGGTGTCAGGAACAGTCTACCAGAGGAGACCAGGCTCAGTCTGGTTCTGGTTCATCTCACTTCTTTAGACTCATTTATAAAAAGGAGCTTTCACTGTGCGATGCGTCATTTATTTTTCCTTTAACTGGCCATCGATCTGTTCCCTGTTTTAAATATAGTGCGTTGTGGCACTGACTTGTGTTTGTCTGTGTTCTGCACTGATTGCTGTAAAGCACTTTGTTACCTGTAAAAAGTGACACAAATAAATGCTGGTGGCACCAGAGGGAAAGAGAGGTGTCACAAAAGTCATCAGGATTCATCCTGTGAGGAAAAGGTCTCCAAACCTCCTGTTGATGAAGCCTGTTCGTTATCTTTCAGTCCTCAACACACACACAGCTGTGAAACAGTCTGTGGCTGTGAGTCCAAGTGTGACATGAGCTCTGCAAAGCTGTGAAGACCCTGCAGATTAGATCTAAAGAGGAGCGCTGCAGGGAAGACGGGTCCATCCTGCCAACAAAGGGAGCTTCTGTCTGCCTGTTTGGACCTGAGAGGCTGGTCATAATCAGAGTATGTTGGTGTCTGTGGTACGGAGCGTCACCTTCTATTCTACATTTAGTTTGGAACTGTAATGACCTATTAGCATCCAAACATTACAGCAGAGATCATCACCCGGCGGCCCGTGGGCCACATCCGGTTATATATTTGCAGTATTACGAAACGCAAGTTGACTTTTATTATGAAGTAATCTCAGGAAATGTGTCTACAGAACAAGGTGACGGTCATTTTAATCCTTTATTATTAGTATTTGACAGCGGACCAGTTTGAAATATTACAGTGAGTAATGCACCAGCCAGGAGCAGCCACAGTGAGCTGCAGTGCAATCAGCAACAATCCTTCTGCTTGGAATCAGCAGCAAAATGTCCTCAATCTTCAGGAGCTTCTAAATGAAATGGAGGCTGGCAATTCTGGCTGTGGAGGTTATGGTTGATTACTCTGGATGATCCTTGTTGTTTATTACTTTTTTAATTAATTTTGATATTTTATGAACTTATATGTCATATGTTTTATGTTCACGTTATATGTTTTAAAGAGGTGGTATTCTGCTCATAATCTCATTTAGAGGTTGTACCAGAGCAGGTTTCCATGGTTATATTTCTGTCATACTGCACATTGCTGCAGCTCCTTCGTTTTAGCTATGGAGTGATGCATCTTGTCTCTACATGATCTTTGTTGGGAGTTGCACATGCTCAGTTCCTAGTTAAGGACTACTAGCCAATCAGAAGCAGAGAAGGGCGGGTCAGGGAGAAGCCGGTAAACAGCTCGGGTTCAGCCGTACGTGTTGCCGACCGGCTTGGCATGTGTCCGTTACACCCCACGTAACTGG